ATCTGATAAACCAATGGGTTTTTATGCCTAATCAGTGCAAAAACTTAATTCTTACAGTGAATGAGTGAGAACATCACAATTTATGCTACCACGAGTCTTGTTATATTGCCTAGAGGTGGACCAGTTTAATGAATTATCAGCTCAGTATGTCATTGCAGCTCCAAAGTCTATGGAAAAAGTTTGCACAGTTTTACACCCTCATTTGTTCGTTCATTGTCTCAACGAACATGTATAGAAGAGAGTATCTGTGCTGAATGCTGGAGATAAAACAATGAAAAAGGCATCTGTCCAACACTCACAAAGCTCCCAGTCTAGTAGCTAAGTGTGCTAGATTCCGGCTCGATTGGGCTGCCTGTTCTTTGGCCTGTGGCTATCATGGAGGAAGATGGTCTTGGGTTCATGAGTTGCTTCCATCATTTATGTAAGTTATCATTTATAAAATACATGCATTGTGTTCAGTGGAAGAATTTGATAACATGGATCGGGCCGTCCCATTAAAGAGAATGATATCAGCTAATATTTTTATTGAGGGCCAGACACCATGCTAATAGTTTCAGTTTCATTCCCCAGTAGTTCTGGACAGGAGATCTTCTTATTCGCATTTCATAGATAAGGAAACTGAGGCTTAGGGTAGTTCAGTTATTTGCCTCAAGTCATCTGGCTAGTTACTATGGCAAAGTTTAGAGTCCAATAGAGATCTGTCTATTCCAAAGTGCATGGTCTGGACCATTATGTGATATTGGAAACATTAAGTGATGTTTTGTAGTCTGAATATTTACTCTTCTATAGTCTGACCTTTTAAGTGGACTCTTTAATTGACTACTTATTAGCAATAGCTCATAATTTGTATTGCTGTTCTTGCGTGAAAACAATGCTTCTGCTTCTAATTACGGCACCCCTCTCTCCCTCCAGAAAGATGCAGTAAGTAAGTCATGTTGAATAGGCATTAATTAAATACTTAAAATATGATTCTTTCTATAAAATGACAAGTCATTTTGATACCATTCCGCTCAATTTGCTTTCTGTATTGGCATCAAGCTTGTTAGGAATAGTGTAGCCAGTAAAAGAACCAAAGCAGTTGCACTTAATTGCATAATTCAGAGCCGCCTTTCCACTCATGATGGGACAGCTACAGCAATGCCACGCCGAACAGGGCCCTCTGATAAGCAGCACAGAACGTATGGCCCGTGCCCTGGCAGCTGTAAGTGTAACAAGTCCAAAGGCGCAGTCTTTCAGCCACAAATAGCAGGTAGTGCAGGTGCTGGTGCGGGCTCAGAACTGTTGGATGCAGTCCCCGTTCGGTCGCATATCAGGGTGATCTCCAGAGAGCTTAATGACTTCATCCAGGTGTTTGGCGGCAGTTGTCCCCTGACCTAGCATGGAGGACAGTGATCAGGAGTTAACTAGTGAGGGTCCCCAAGGGATGGAGATGTTAGGTCCACTTGGTATTTTTATGTTGAAAGATTTTTTAAAGAAGTTTATATAATCTATTTATTTGAAACCAAAAATAACTAAAGGGAAAAAATGCTACGTTTGTCATTTGGCCAGAGGATGATTAATATCAAAATATGTGACTGTGTGATCGTGTGCAAGAAGGCCATGAACTGGATTTGCTTTTTCTAAATTCAGTCCAATAAATTTGTTCATTCATCGGTAGCCTTACAAATGAAACCCTGCCTGAATGCATTTCCCAAGGATGTTCTAGCCTGCCAGATCCACTCAAATGAAGGTTTTGAAAGAATTTTTGCAAAGTTGATAAAGCATTGAAAAAACAAATAAATTATATAGTTTGGTTTTCTTAGTGGTTGTGATCAGATGAACAGATGAATTCATAAATTGAAAAATCAACTTTCTGGTCCTTTTTTTTCCAAATTACTGCATACTCAATGTAAATTATAGCAATAAATTAAATAATGGCTACAAAGATATAATTCATGAGAGTTCTGAAAAGTGCTTTTTAGGAGAGTGTGGGGCAGGGGAAATTATAGACTTTGATTCTGGGTCTATCACTTTCTATATAAATAAATAACAAATAAATTTTGGCTCAGTGGTTATTACTTTATTAAATTTATAATCATAGTATATACTACTATGGAAAATACAATAAAATAAGGAATAAAAAGAAAGCATTTTTCTCAGTCTGCTGAGATCTTGCTCCCAGGTGTATCCTCTGTTTGGCTCACATAAATTTTTAATAAAATTATCTACAGGTTTTCAGGGGGATGTACAGTAAGCGTAAGGAATATAGCTAGTGATACTGTAACAATAATGCATGTTATCAGGTGACTATTACATTTATCAGGGAGATTACTTTATAAAGTTATATGCATGTCTAATCCCTCTGTTTATAGTTGAAGCTAATATAATATTGTATGTCAACTGTAATTTAAAATTTTCAAAATTATAAAAAATTTTAAAATAAAATAAAATTTAATGTTGAAACATCACTTACTATTTTTATATATTTCCATCTATTCATTCTATATATGCATTTCAAATGGCTGTTGTGAGAATTAAATGAAATTAAATATGGAAATAACATACCACATGGTCAGTGATAAAAATGTGAATTCTCCAGAATTCAGATTTCCACCCGTTAGAGCTCATCATAAAATCAGGAGAACAGATAAGTATATTATCTAGTCTAGAGATCATTTTTTTAAAATGGTCAATATTTGAAAATACTGTGAATTTCTAATTGTTACCTGCTTGAATAAAATGATTAGAATATAATAACCATTATCTCAAATACTATTAACCTAAATATAAGGTGATTTCTCATTTTCCAGTAGAAATGTCCAGAGGTAAGAGAGGGGGAGGGGCTTGCTACTTGCATGTATAAATTTATAGTCATATAGAGAAAAGTCAAATATCCACTTATAATACTTAGTGTCTTAATTAGACTATAGCTACAAAGTTAAAAATTATATCAAAACAAATACATATCAGGTGTGAAATATCAATACATATTTATATCAATATAAATATCAGGTGATTTTTCCCCTTACATTTCATTAAAAATTTTATTCAGATGCTTCTTATGCATCTAAACCATCTACTTTATTTTAGAGCAACTTTCGAAGTTACTGAGTGTCTCTTTTGAGATATCTATATGATGTATGATGTCACTGGAAATTTAATCTGAAAAGACAATTACCATTTACGAAATAAAAGAAAAGCACTTTTTCATTTATTCTGTTCATCTATATAAGTGCAATGTAAGCATAAACTACAGAGTCTTTAGTCTCTAGTAATATTTACCAAATCCCTGTTAAAGTTCTTTGTTGTCTATAACCAGTGATAGCTCTAAAACTAGTATTTTAAATTTTTAAAAATTACTTTATTTCAGTTTGATATCTTATCTAAATAGTATTTTTGTTCGAAGCAGAGTATTGGAAGATCATGTTTTAATCTGAGAGGTTTCACAAGGACTGAAATACAAAGCAAACCCTCTTTTTGAGGGAGTTTTGGGAAAGAAAACTTCACCTTATGTTCTGGCACTTTTGGTCTGCTTGAATTCCACATGTTTTGCAACTATATCACAGAGCTACAATTTACAAACATAGTCTTTCATCTCTCATGTCATCTCTGAGTTAGAGATTAAACTACGAACCTCAGGGGCAGCTATAATGCACAAACTACTTGTCAGTTACTTAAACTGTCTATTTCCAAAATCTATTTGAAAAAAACTGGAACCAAAGTTACAGTCAGACCTGGAAATAAAAATAGAAGTTCAAAATCATTCAAGAAAGCCGAAGAAAATGGCCTGTAATTATCCAGCAAGAGCACTGGGTAAAATTTTATACTCAAAGGTAGGAGAGGTATGTCAGTTATATCTCAATTTTTTAAAAAGTGATTTTTTTAAAAAAGAAAATACTGTAATAGAGTACATACTTTGCTAATTAATAAAATGAAGCACTTCAAATTTTCAAACATGATATGTGTTTCCCACTATAACATTAGGAAATGATTTCAATGCATGAGTCCCATAGGAGGAACGTGAAGTAAACGTGAATATTGTCTCGGACATTCATTTTATAAAATGGAATAAATGGTCTTTAAACACACCCCTTTGACACTACCACCGCAACAATGCCATGGGCATTAGAGCAGTTGCTGTTATTTACAGATGTGACCCTCAGCAGATATGGTCCAGCATGTGGCCTTCCAGTGACCTAACATGACAATAGGAGGCTCTGAGACAGCCATCCTGTCATTTCTCTTGAAGGCCCACTGACAGGAGCTTCAAGCTGAACTTGCAGCAGGAGCTGGAAAGATGGCGATTTGAGGCTGAAATGTCTGGTGAAAGCGTGGAATTCTAGTAGTGCTGTTTGTTAACTGGGGAAAGAGCCATTTGTTTTGAACAACACAAGTGAAGCAGCTCCCATACTGACCTCATATTATTAGGCTTTAGCTAATGTTCCCTTTGATTTTCTTAACACTGAAAATGCAGATGAGACTAGACAAATTAGTTCGTTAATTAAGCGTGTGAAAGGCACACTTCTGATGATGATGGCTTTGAGAATTCCAGACATAGTAGAGCAAAGTGGGATGCATTGCCAGGGATTTAGCTTCCACCTCAAAGTGCTGAATTCCTACTAGTAGGTCCAGGGTTTGGTCCCATGAGATTAAAAAGTCAGGTTACAGCACAAAGCCATGACAATCAAATGGCTAATAATTATTATAATTGCTTATTTCCATAGCATTTTAAATCAATTGCTTGTTAAATCTTGTTTCATTTTGGTCTCACTTTGACACTAGCAGTGATATCAAACTGATTGGCACTAGCATCCTTGTTTTCAGATCAATAAAGCATCAAAAACTTGAATTGACTTTGTTTGCTCAGCCACAGACCTTGTAGGAGCCAAATGAACCAGGATCAGAACATGGATCTCTTGAGTTGCAGGCCGTCCTACTTCCACTAGTGTTTGAAAAACTCAGAGAAGCTAAATTAGTCTAAAGTTTTTGATAGTGGTTGAATCACTGTGGAATTATGATAGAAAACTCTTCGGTGATGGAACAAAACTTACCGTCACAGGTAGGTATCAATGCAATTTTTCAAGGTAATAGAGGGAGGCAAGAAACAATGAAATTGGAATAACACTAAGACTATTTAGAAAGAACAGCAATGTGATGGGGATTAGATGCAGAATCTTAGGAGAGATTGTAAAACAAGTCCTCAAAGGCACACATAGACAGCATTGTGCAAATATCGTAACAAGACTTGGCTGTGGTGTACGTGTGGACTTGCACAAAAGACTCAGGCATAATGTATGCAATTATCATGGCAGTGCTTGCCCCCAGGATAAAGTTTATTATTATTGGTCAGTTTTGTGAGTGGACACATTTCCTTGTCTGATGGTGGAAGGGTGTTATGGAAGAGTCTGGTCTTTGGGTCAGGATGACATGGAGCTCCGGCTCCATCACTTACTGCTTATATGAACTTAGGCAATTACTCTGGCCTCAGTTTTTTAACTCATAAAGTGGGATAAGTATGTATAGAGGATTTGTATGACAATCGATTGAGATGGTGTGAATGAAGTACTTGCACATTGTCTAACATATAATAGGTGCTAAATAGGGGCCCCCCAGTTCAAATGTAAAGGAAAATTGTATCCAGTATGAAGAGTTGTTTGCAGCAGTAATATTGACAGTAATATTGAGCATAAATTCCTCAGAGAATTAAGCTGTGCTTCTAACTACTTATAAAAAAATTAATTTGGAGGTATTCTTTTTACCATCACTTGGCAAGAAAAATGAGATTGACATGTGCTTGTTTTTAATTTTTATTATTGGCCTATGTGCTTTAAATCTTAACCCTTTATCTTAATTGATGTTATTACTAATACCAACATTTATTGGTCCTAAAATTTATAGCTAACAAGTTTCAGCTTCAGATTTATCAAAAGAGTTTAAATGCATACAGAAAATGGTCAATATGTAGTCAATTAAATATAGTTAGAAACTTCATAGGTTTGGAATACAGATATAACCATAAAATAGCTATAACTATGTATTTGATAAAATAAAAATGACAAGAAAAAATAGAGAACATTTAGTATCAATGTAGGTTTGAAATATCATACTTTCAATTGAAAATATAGTTGACATTTACATAGAATTTGGTAAATTTGCATAATATTGCTGCATTTTAATAAATATAAACAACTCAGGCAATTTAACTCAGACATATTATTTGATTATAACTACATAACTGTATTGGAAGGCTTATTTATTTATTTACTAGAGGCCCGATGCACGAAATTTGTGCAAGAGTAGGTGTTCCTTCCTCCGGCTGCCAGCACCAGATTCCCTCTGGACCGGGGACCTGGGCTTCCCTTGCAGCCCCGGCTTCATCCAGAATGTCATCCGGTCTAATTAGTATATTACACTTTTATTATTACAGATTTTTCTGGGTGATCTTTTGCATTTTTATTTCTATTATTGCTGATAAAATAATATAAGTGAACTCTCATTTTTTAAAAATGTTATTTCAGCTAGATAAATCTTGTTTTTTCTTTTTTGGGGGCGGGGAGGCTTCTTTATTTTTTGATCTGATTCCTTTTATATAAATCATGAACAAGATTTTGACCATAAAAAACTTAAGTTTTACAAAGAATGTTTAAAGAAAAAAAACATGTAATATGATTATCCAACATATAGGTACTAACCATATATAATCAAGTACACTATATAATAGTTAACTATTACATTAAGAAAGATATGGAAGTTCAAGATTCATTTTATCTTGAAAAGAATGATGCAAAGAATCTAGCTAAGAAAAGGGGACAGGCAATAAAAATAGTGTGTTTCCACACAAAAGCATTTCAAGCTTATCATTTGATTTTCAATTTCTTTAATATAATGAGTCAGAAGTATTACTATGAATTAGATTCATTATAATACTTCTTAGTATTACTAAGATGAAAATTAGATTCTTTAATATATTGACTAAAAATTAAAATTATGTAAATATAATGTAAAATTGAAAAATTAATATTATTTTATATAGGATGGTTTTTAAGTTAAAAATAAAATATACGGTTGGAGAAATATAGAATGTCTTACTATTATAATCAATAAAGTATTATTGCACTAAAAGTAAGATATACAAAATTAAAATAATTATAAGCACATTATGACTTAGTTATGTTTACAACATGATTTAAAAACCCAACATTGTTTGCTTACTGATTTAGTATAAAAATCGGGAGCTTTGCTTCACAGTTAGAAAGTCTTAAGAATTTTTTTTCCTTTTCTTCTCAAATGAGAAACCCAATTAATTTTTCTTAAAAAATTGCCCATGACTTATTAAACTAACTCCAAGCTAGCCCAAAGAGAATACAGTAAGGAATTTGTGTTTTAATC